CTCAGGCATATTATCTCGCATTCGATGTTTATACACATCCTAGATTATACGGACATCCATCCGGTATGTTTAGTCCCTTTGATTTTATTTTTAATACTATCTACAACAGTGAGTATAATTATAATCCCGTTGATCCAGATCAATACACCCCATACCCCTACTATAATCCGAATATGAATTCGGAAGACCCAGTTCATTTGGGGTCTTCGCATCAGTTTACGTCTACATTGCAACTGGTAGATCGTCAAATGACACCTATTCCTTATTCTCAATTCGGAGATTCATCGAGTGATAATGAAAATGATGAGGATGAACAAGTTGGTAGAGGGCACAGGATTAGAAGGCCCCCGTGATGTGTCACCAGAGGTCACCGTGGTGATATTATTATGGTATTTTATGATGCTTAATTATTAAAACTTTTTAGTATTTTAGTTATTCAATCTAAATAAACTAAAAGATTTGGAGAGAAAAAATATTCCCTAATAATTAGGCATTTTATTATTTTTATTTAATAAAATATAAATTTTAAAAAAGTAATATAATTAACAAAATAATTCTTTATTTATAACTTATGCAAGAAAATATTAATTATTTTGTTAGGTTATTTGCTCAGAAGAAGCACTAAATTGGGGTTTATCTGCCAATGCTACGAGCTTATGGAATAAAACAGAATAAATTATATAAATAAATGAAGGACAAAATTTAAATTACAACATATAATTAAATTAAAATTAAAGTTCAACTACGTGTTACAATTTAACAACAACAAAAAGAATTAAGGAAAATTAAAAAAAAATGAACTCAATTCCAGCCGTTTGATATAAACAAATCAACGGCTATTAAAAGGCGTCATTGTGAGTGACGTGTTAATCATGTGTGGCAGGTCAAAGGTTGTCATTTCAAATAACTTCTTTTAAGAGCGTCGCATCGTCCAATTTAAATATGGCCGTTTGATTTAGAAGACAAAACAGGACAATGGGTCGTTGATCAAAGCTCAATCCGATGGTTGTTACAAGGCGTTATTTTAAATAGGGTAAATTCCACTTTACCCCATTGTACTCTGCCCAAGAACCACTTTACCCCCTCGTACTCTTAATTTCGTCGATTTACCCCCTCGTACTTGTACAATTTCCCAATAAACCCTCTTCGTCAACTTTTTTCGATTTTGACTCTGACGCCATTTGGTCAAGAGTCAAAATATTGACGTAAATATTGAATTTTTTCGATTTTGACTCTCGAGATTAGAAAAGAGAAAGTTTCACACATTCATATATTTTTTTATTTGCACTTGGTGGAATCGATCAATTTTTGGGGTCTTGATTTTTACTAAGTTAGGGGTTCAATTTGGGGATATCTTGGAAGGGGAAAGTGGTGGGAGAAGAAGAAATGACAATATTTGACGGAGGAGAAACGACGCGTTATAGGCAGTGGCAATTTTGTAATTTACAGAGTTGACCAAATGGCGTTAGAGTCAAAATTGACAAAATTTGAAGGAAAGGGCTGTATTGGGAAATTGTACAAGTACAAGGGGGTAAACCGATAAAATTGAGAGTACGAGGGGGTAAAGTGACTCTCAGGCAGAGTACGAGGGGGTAAAGTGGAATTTACCCTTTTAAATAACGTTTTATTGTAGTTCTGAAATAATCTCACCACCCCATTTTTTCAAAAAGTTGAACGGATTATTATTTAAAAAAAAAAAAAGCCCCTAGCAATTAGTAGTAATAATTAATTGATAGTTAATGAATTAAATAGTTAATATTTTATTATTTGTTAATGTAAAAAGTGTATTTATTTATTTATATGTATTTATAAAAAATTGCCTCAAGTCTCTCTCATGCTCAAACTGGGCGGGGATGTGATTTTCTACGTCCATCGTGTTTGTAACGCTTGGGGGATTGCGTGGGTCTTGGAAGTTTTAGAGAGAGAAAGTAATATTTTGAATGAACGGTATTATTAAAATTAGAGCCGTAAAAATCATTTCGGATTTTTAAATAAGAGTTTTTTTTGTGGCACCAATCCCTCTGGGCTCTTTTGGTTTGCTTGCTTAGGCCGTTGGATGGGACTAAGTACACAGTCTTATTTGCTAGTTACTCCATCAATTATTGGGTCCACCATTTTATCATGCATTTGAATTATAACTTGTGAACACAAAATCGCATTGATTATTTATCACTCAATTATACCACTTTTTTGAGTTTTGTATAATTACCAAACAACCCTTACATCTTACTCCAGTTAACAAGGAATCCAAAATCTTGCTCCATTTTCTTTCTTCTCTTCTCGTCGGCTATTGGCGGCCGATTGCTGGTGTAGATTACAAAGGAGGCTAAAATATTCTTGCAATTAATTTGTTATTGTGGTGAATTAGGGGCGGAACACAAGTCCATGCAGCCGTACAATTGAACCCTCTTCATCTTCACTTATATTGTGTGGAGGTGGTGTAAAGAATTAAAAGGGTGTTTCAAACATTTACCCTCCAAACACATCGTATTCCAACAAATCAACTCAAGAAAATATAATATATATTCATTATTATTTTGCTGTCAGATTATAGTTAATCACACAAACCAAAAGACATGATTAGTGTTACTCATAACTATATGAATCCCAATATTACTTACACCAAACCGACCTATCTACACAAAACATCCAACCAAAAAGGCCCTTATGGTCCCGTTAGATCGAAGGATTTGATTTGACATCTGAAATCTTGGAAAATTGTTTTGCACACACCATAATTATCTACACATGTGTTTGTTTTTACCGGCGTCGATGTGGGACCGGGACTAACAACTCCCCTAGCTTTCGTCGTTTCTCCTTCCATGTTAATTAATTGTAAGCATTCATTCGAACAAAATTAATCATAAAACGGACTCCGCCAGTTTTGGATTTAGTGTTGCTTAAGATTTCAGCCTTGTTTGATGGCTCTAAATGAGCTCTTAATGGACCTAAATCTCTTATTCGGTCAGTAATTTATAATTCAGCATGTTTGATTAAATCATCTGAATGGAACCAACTTGTGCTGACCGATTCATGTTAATTTTTAGAGTTTATTCATTCAGTGACAAAACTGAATAGATTTGACGAAGCTATTTTCACAAATGCCCCTCTTTCCAACCACCTAGATAAGTGTTTGATGAAAACGACAAAAAAAGTAATAGAGTTTTTTTTGGTAGCTTGTGGCAGAAAAATTACAGCGTTCCCATATTTTTGTAAGTTTTGATTTGGATTATATTATTTACATTGAGAAAAAATATGATGTCCCTCAAATTTATCATTTCATTAAGAATTCATTTTTTTCTTCTTCTCAATTTTAATGTTATATATTTTTAATGTTGGAGTAGGATGAAGTTCAATATTTTTACTTTTATATGTGTTTCAAGAATTAGAATTGATTTACTTCAAGCCATTTATTTTATCAAAGTAAATTGATGACATGTCATAATTTATTTTTACTTAGATATTTTTTAGAATTAAATTAGTAAATAAACTTATATATTAAAAAAAATTGAGGGCTATAGAGTGAAAATACACGAGTTCACACATATTTCTCCTTCCACTATGGTATCATGGAATTTAATTTCTCACCATTTTTCTTTTATCTATAGGTATTTTAGTGAAATTGAAACGAAAATGTTGCTTATATATTTTTGAAAAATATAGTTTATATTTACACATTTATTTTTGTTGAAAGAAATATAATAATATAACAATTACAAGAGCCATAGTTACATTTTTTTTATTTAGATACTATCAATAATTTTGTTGGTCAATAAAATTGTGTTCGATAATTATGAAGGCTAATATAGTAAAACAATATTATTCAGATATAATATTTTTTTGTTTTCAAACAAACTTAAACATTCAGCATTCAACATTCAGAGGTCTTAACCATTCAGCCATATATTCAGCATTCAATGTTCAGTGCTTAATTCTGTCAAACATAGCCTTCATCACTTGTATTTATAAAAAAAAATTGATAAACATGGGCAGATCTTAAGAAAATAAACATCTCGTGAGAAATTTAACATAATTTAAAATATATCATCCAATTATTAAAATGACAGATAATATGAAGAAGAAAAAAATCTAATTAAAACCACAATTAATTTGAAGCAGAGAACAATATACATCTCAAATTAAACACGTCCCGTGAGAAATTTAACAAGTCTTTACTATACAACTACGGTGGTGGTTGCAAAAGCTTATTTAAAAGCAGAAATTATGGATTGTGAGTTAAGTTAATTTTAAATGCTTATTTCTAAAAGTTGGGGGTATTTACAAATTTACTGGAAAATTAACTTAGGTGGTGTTTGCAAAAGCTTTTTGAAAGTGATTATGAGCTTTTTTTTGCTCATAATCTATTTTCAGGTGTTTGCAAAATCGACTTCTGTTTTTGCTTCTCTTAAAATAATCTGCTTTAAACTATTTTTTTAAAAGCACCCATAGCTCTGCTTTTTCTATTTAAGTTCATTTTCCGGAATATTTGCAAACACCCCCAACTTTTAAAAATAAGCACTTAAAACTGACTTAACTCACAATCATTAATTTCTGCTTTTAAATAATTATTTGCAAACACCACCTTAAAAAGAAAAAGTAGAGTCGTAGCTATTTAACAAATTATAGCTTAAAATTGTTTAAGAGAAGCAAAAGCAAAAAGTTGTTTTTGCAACCACATAAAAACAGATTATGTAAGAAAAAAAAAAAACTCATAATCTATTTCTAAAAGCTTTTGCAAACACCACCTACATACATCAATCAGTACATACGAAAGAGGTTCAGTCCGATAGCTAATAACCATCCTTTTCTTTTGCAACGGATTTGTATTTTATATATAAATAACTTCGCGCAGTTTATTAGTAACAATAAGTAAATGGATCATATTATATATCCAATATATTCTTTGTAATTAATCTGTAATGTCACTTATGTAAAAACAGCAGGCTTTTCCTATAATCACAATAAAACACGAGAAAGTTCGAAATGCGCGAAAAAACTTAACACATAATGCCATCTTTAAAAGTAAACACCACCAAATCCACATACCTACGAAAAGTGAAGCATAAATGTTGCTCGAGAACAAGAAACAGAAACATGGTGACCAAAAACTTGAAAAGTGAATTAAAGCACCACAAATACCTAATATACTTGATAAAACAATTTCCCGGAGCACAAGCAAACATCTGAAATAGAAATGAGTTCTTCGTTCTCAAATACTTCTACAAAATTATCCTCGAGAAAATACCAATCGGAACAAAACTTAAGAGCAAGAAATTTAAATGATTCCGATTTTGTTGGCAACATCCAAAGCATCAAAGTCGGGAGTCAACCTAACGTAAGCCTTCTTAGTCCCATCTGGCCTGAAATTTGCAGGTTTCAAAGTTCACCGATAGTAAATATTTACAATTATATAATAATTCTAAAATAATACACAAATTCACTTGCACAAGACAAGTACGAGCACACATAACATCGCATTACAAGAATCGAATTAGATAGTTAACTATTTGGCTTGTACGCATTTGGTCAACTTCTAAACTTAAAACGGTATTCATGTACGAGTTCATCTACACCATTATTGAATTGAATGACATGGTGGTCAAAATCAGGATTTAAATCGTAAGATCACAAGATTTTACGATTTGACACCCTTACAAATAGTTAAATCGTAGTGAAATCATACGTCCCTTGCAATGTGTTGAAATTGGGAGTAAAATATGTTAAAATCGTTGCAATCGCGATGTTTTTACAATTTTACTATTATCCAAACAAACCCTAATCTGCCATACACTAACGTTTCATCGCCTTCAAAGAAAACAAAATAATAAAAGAATTCATGAGGGTTGTTAGGACATATTTTATGTATGTTATGACTTGTTTTATTTGTGTTAGGAGAACTTATATATATATACACATAAGTTCGTACGATTTTACAATATAATTTTACCACCCCTCTACAATTCAATTCAAAATCCTGATTTCTACTACCTTGGTAATAAATAATTGCAAAAAAAGATACAATAGAGCGCTCTTACCTGATAAGAGTGTTGACTTTCCTTGTGTGAATGTCGTACATTTTCTTGACTGCGGCCTTGATCTTCTTCTTGTCAGCACGGATATCGACAATGAAGACAAGGGTATTATTGTCCTCGATTTTCTTCATGGCAGATTCAGTGGTGAGTGGGTACTTGAGAATCTGGTAGTGGTCAAGCTTGTTACGAGGAGGTGCGCTGATGCGAGGGTATTTTGGACTTCTGTCCTTCTTCAAGGTCCTCGGTCGGTAGAATGTGACCTTCGTGCGTATCTTCTTCGACTTCTTTTTGAATGTTGCTGATTTCACTGCTTTTGCAGTCTTCAAAGCCTTAGCCTTCGGGTCTTGTTTCTTGGCCGAATCAACTGCAGTGTACATAAATATCGAGATACATAACCAAGAAAAAAATTGTAAACAATTTAAACGACCACAAGAACTACAAAAGACAATGCAAAGTTGTTGAATTATTTTGTCTTCAAAGATCAACCGTAAGAAAATCGATTTAATTTAAACAACTATACTCGTATATAGTTAAACGAATGAAAGTAATCCAACGCATGAATGATTTATGGAAATGACATTTGCAACTTCGCAGAGGGCTTCTTTTCTTCTCAAAACTGCAAGTTATATATATATATACACACACGGAACTAAAATGGGCACCGTTTCAACTGGACTTCGACATATCTAAATATACATTTAGACACACCTGTATATATATATATATATATATATATATATATATATATATATATATATATATATATATATATATATATATATATATATATATATATATATATATATATATACACACACGGAACTAAAATGGGCACCGTTTCCATTGGACTTCGCCAAAGGATCGAAATTTACATTAAGACACACCTATTTACACCATTCATTGGTCTCGATTTTAATTTTCTTATGCATCTAACACAGCTCAAGGAGCAAAATTCAATCTTATCCACAATTAAAAATCATCTTATTCTAAATCCTGAGTCTCACGAAAGTTGCAACCAATACAGACTAATTAGAACAAAAACACAACAAAATTGTGGAAAATGCTGAAGCTTATTTAAATAATTAACAAATAAATGAACCGTTTCAATAGAACAAATAAACCCCAAAAAAATGACGATTTTTCACAAATCAAACCAGCAAGAACCTCGCAGCATTTTGCTCACTTGAAGCGAGTAGATCAGTCAATATAATTATTAAAAAATAAATAAAAACTAACACTGAAGAACTAATCGCATAACAAACTGTGGAATCGGAAAAAAAAAAAAATTGAATTATTCAGTACCTTTAGCGGGAGACATTTTTGGGGCTGAAGATTAATTTTGAAGCTTGGTGGGCACAGCTGAATTAGGGTTTGCTGCAAAGGGACGAATCATTTGTATTTATATAGTTCGAGGCATCGCACGTGTCTATCACGTACTTTAGGCATGTTTTTCCTCTTCTTTTTTCATTTTTTCTTTTCTTTTTCTTTTTCTTTTACCTTTTCTTTTTTGGGTTTAATTATTTAGGTTTTTTTATTTTCTTTAACAAAGTAAATTATTTAGTTTTAATATCACTATTTTCATATGTTAAATTATATATAAATTATTAGTTTGTCCCTAGGAAGGTTAGTTCCCTTTTTGTTTTTTGTTTAATGATTTCTTTTTATTATCTCCATTTTGTTGTAAAATTTATAAATTGTCAGTTTGTCACTGTATAAGTTAGATTGAATTAAACATGTTCGGTTTTGGGTTGACGCATATCATAATCGGCATGTGGTTAATAGGTTGGTTAACCAGATCGCCATGACAATAACCCGGAGAATTATACTACAAGTAGGGTGTTCGCTCGGTAATAACGTACTGAATCATACTAAAATTTCAGTAAAATTTCAGTACCTCGAAAATTTGTACTGTTTACCGAATCGAACTATTCGGTAGTTCGGTTCGGTATGGTTTTTTACCAAAATAATTCGGTTTTTTCTATTCGGTACAGTAAAGCCGAATATATATATATATATATATATATATATATATATATATATATATATATATATATATATTAAAGTAATTAATCTTGAATTTGACATTCAAATTTCAACAATCGGCCCTAAAAACAAAAAAATGATATCAATAGAGGCTAATTTGTAAATAATGAAAAACTGTATCAATCTAAAAGTATTATAATTTGTTATAACCTTAAAGAGCCTAACAATAAAGAAGAAGAAATAAAATTATTTAATATTTGGGTATTATGTACGGTATGATATATCGGGCATCAATATGGTCTATCTTGTCTGAGACTAGAGAATTACTGTATGTGAACTCAAACTCATCAGCTACGGTGTAAAGACACCGGCATACATAAGTGGGTGTTCATAGTAGATGTGTTCACTGAAACTCCTCGTCTTAGAATCTCTAAGTGGTTCTCAATAGTCGAGTAGAGGTCCTACGGTTATCGTTGTACATTATTAGTCTTTAGGACCTAGTACACCGCTGCGACTTCCTTAGAGGATCAACTATGTTGTGACTTGTCAATGAGTCTCATTGAAGACCGCTTCAGGGCAAACATTTGCAGAGTCCAAAATGTAGTGGGAGTCTGCGCTTTTTAGTTAGGGATTTGACCACTTGCTTAAGTGCATTGATGTCATTCGTGTTCTTCTAGTGTACTGTCCATGGAATCTCAGACCATGGTAAAAAGTGGATTGGTTAAAGAAACGAGTTTCTCTAAATCAAACACGAAATGACTAAATAGCTTTAGAACGTTCGCACAGTCATCGAATAACATTAGACGTCTCGGTGGACCAATGTCTTTAGTTCAATGGGGAAGTATGTAGTCGAAGGGACCGTATTGTATATTAACTACACAGTCTAAGGTTCTTGCAGGCACTCCATTTGTATCTAGAGAATCATGACATAATGTTTCTAGGCGCCAATCAAAATTGGTTGGACAATAGCTGATATCATGGTGATTAATAAGATTAAAATATGTTTTGATCTGAATCAAGACAATTCAAACAAGTTCGTAATCAAATAATATAGGTTTTCGAATCACAAACAGTTGTGAGCCCTAAGGGTCAAGAAATGGAAATTCCTTAATATAGTAAGTTGAGATTAAAGCTTTTGTTCTTAGAGTAATCGAAACTCAATAGATTGAATCTGAGATTCTTAATATCAATTACGAATTAGAAAAATAAAGTAATGCATTTCTATAAATATTAAGTGAAATTTCTAAATTGAGATTTTTCTCAATATAGTAGGTGCTCTAAATTGGAAGTTTCCAATTTTGGAAAATGAGAATGCAAGTAGTACTTAAATTTGTGAGAAAGTTATATTCGTCACGAATATGTAATCGTTATGTTTCTCGAAAGTACGCTTAGAGAGAAATTAAGATTTTTAAAATGAGTTTTTAATGGGTTGGAAATTTGACCTCTAGATCAAGTAGGAGACTTGATCTTCAAGTTAAATAATTATCTATAAAAAAGAAAGAGGCTTGGGGTTGAGTAGGAGAGTCTCCCTGTTAAGCTGCCGCCCAACGCTACTGTTGCCGTTGCGATAGTCGGATTTTTTCCGTTCCTTCAACCGTTCGTTTACCCTATTAATTCAGATTAATTTCTATTGCAACTAATCGCTGGAAAATTTGTTTCAGGTGAAACTCAATCCGACGATACGAAGACGAAGTGGATTGTCCTCAATAAGGACTTCAATGTAACCATAAATTGGGTTAGAAGGAGCATACATATAATAAGTAAGCGTTTGAAATTTAATTAAATATGTTTAACTAATCGCATGTTAATTGGATTTAACTATGCACATAAACATATACATGATAATTGAATTATGTGATTTTTTTATTTCTTTAAACCCAAAAGAAAAAAAAATTAATTGATTCAACATCTAATAAATAATCCCCAAAACGCCATAAAACTAGAATAAATAAAGGAATAATTAGTGAAAACCCCTAACATCATTTACATATATTAGGGTAGATACAAACCCTCTTTCATTATTAGTGAGAAACACCCCCACGTGTTGCCGTGTTGAACATAATTTTTTTTAATTAATTATTTAATTGACACGACTAATAGACCCCTGTGTAATTTTTTTTTGTTACACACATGATCCAAAAAAATCTCTGAGATCACGATATATCGGCATATTCCATAAACGTCTCATCCCTCTCTACCATTGCGTTAATTTTGGCACCATTTCGAAGTCACCCACGGAGATTCATAAGTGATTCGGTTCAGAGAATCGGCGATTGTAATTGAAGAAGGCGAGTTTTTTGTTGTTTTTGTTTGCAACCCACTTTTTTTAGCGGGGATTCAATGCATTAAATTTGAATTCTATGTATGCGGATTATGTTCTTATTGCAGGAAGTTGTTTGTAATTGAATTCATATATGTGAACTGTTGTTTTGTGGTTTGTGCGAACAATAGTATCAGGATCATGTACTAATTGCAGATAGTTTTTTAACATTGGATTTCGTGCATTTATGTTCTTATGTACGAACGCACGAGTTGTTTTGAGTAGATAATGTTGAGAGTTTATAATCGTTTTATGCAGTTATATATGCGAACGATTGTTTTTGGAGTAACATATTCGTAATTATATTTATTATTATAGTTGATTTAGTTATAGTCGTTTATGAAATAACCAATCATAGTTGTTTTATGTATGTTCTCTATTAACTGCATTTTCTTTTCAATCTTATTTTTGGTGTAGATGGATAGCAGTGTTAATATTTTTGTGAAGTACAGGGGTTTGGTTGCTTTGAAGCGATCTTCTGGACTTACTTTCCAAGCACTGGATGATTTTGCGTGTTCGAATTCGTAATGTCTGAATGCATCCAATATAACCATCACATATATCCTGGCAGATTGTGGAGAATGCATTATTGCGGATGACGAAGACTTGGTATCCATGTTTGCATTGATGCGCGAGTTATCTTTAGTGCGTATGAATGTTATGGTGAAGGGTCGAGCTGACATTGTTAGTTGACCAATTCAACATGTGGTTGCATCAATTCGGCATGTCCACAACTAGATAATGCTGCCAACGCTCGAATATGACAAATATGTTGAGGATACGGAAGATCGTGATTTAGAAAATGTGGTTGCGGTAGTTGAGGGCAAGAAGTTGTTGAGCGCGGATTGGATTTATTTGATAAAAGATGTAGGTTAGGTTTTTTAAGGTGGTATTGCCGATTTCAGAAAAGTGCTTAATAAGTTTTCAATTGAATTGTGGTTTGAGTACGAATATCAAGAACGAGTCATATAGGGTGACGGTGGTGTGTAAGTACATACATGAAAAACAATGTTGTTGGACGATACACGCTTCCATTGACAAACATAGCAAGTTTTGTTCTATTCGTACGTATGATAAACATCATACGTGCGGTATGTTTTTTATGACTGCGAATAAGAAGAGATTAAGTGCAGCTATTATTATTGACTTGATTGCGGGTGAGATTCGATCAAGGCCAGGTACCCGACCGAGTGAAATAATTACACAGGTCAGGGACAAGTTTGGAGTTGATACTAGTTATTATTTAGCGTGGAGATCGGCTGATACAGGCAGAGCATTAAATTTTGGTGATCGTAGCAGCTCATATTCATTTAGAAGCGGAGCGGGCAAATCATGGTAGTTTATTTCACTTAAAAAGTGATGATGTGAAGAAGAATTTTTGTCGGTGTTTCTTCGCATTTGCAGCTTGTATGGACGGGCTCAGGTTATGTTGTCCTGTTTTTATGCTCGATGGTACCTTTTTGAACGGCACAAGGCCATATTACTTAGTGCGGTGGGAAATGAAGGCGATGAACGTAAGTTGTACAGTGCAAGTTAAAGTAGTTTTTTCCATTATACATGTTTTTCACAACAGTTGGTTTCACAATAATTGTTTTCAAACAAACTTGTAAGTAATATCCTTTTTTGCACATTCAGGTTTGTATCCAATCGCATTTGCAACTGTGGATGAAGAAACTTATCGTAATTGGTCATAGTTTCTAAATCACTTGAAAGTTGTTATTGGAATGGATAGGGTGTTTACGTTTGTCTCAGATCAGAATCATGGGATTTTGGTTGGGGTTCAGAATGTGTGTCCACATTGTCTTCATGCATATTACTACAAGCACTTGAAGGGAAATTTGGAAGATCGATTCATGGATGAGCCAAAGAATTACCGTAAAGTTGTGGTGAGCCAATTTCAAGATTGCGCTAGCTGCCACAAAACCTGAGTTTAAACGTTGTTTGGAGAAATTCAAAAGAACTGGCAGCGGATGAGTGCGCAAATTTCTAGCTGATATTCTGAAGAAAAAGTGGTCGAATGCATATTTTGAGGGACCAAGGTATGTCTAGATGACGTCAAATGATTTTGAATCTTGGAATGGAATGCGCAGGTGATGGATGAAC